AAAACTAAAATATAACAAAACATTAGTCCTATAGTCCTTGCCAATCCCACTGGAGGGGGTAAAGGAGATGGAAATTCCTCCCTGATAAAGGGCATCTATACACGTGCCTGACGCCTGCTCCAATGTATTCTAATCAGAATGCATCAGAGCAGGCTCAACTGAGTCTGCGAAAATGTACTAACAAGCATGTTCCAGCAACCTCAGCATCACATGCATTCAGTGTCCCCATGCTTCAAAAGGGCAGCAGGGGTGCTTTAAACTAAAGCTCATTGAATGAGCTTTAGTTAAAACATCCCCACAAAAAGTTGAATACATGAGAAGTTGCAGGCACTTTAATTAGAGCGGCTCCTGAGAAGGTGCCTCAGCACCCTGAGAAGCTCTAGCACACTAGTGCTTCAGAAGAGGGAAAACTGAAAAACAAAATCAAAAGGCAAGTTATATGTTTAAAGAGTGAAAAAAGATGTTTTAGCTGCTACAGGTGGCCAGCAGAAGCCCTGAGGCAGGGGGCAGATGGATTAAACACAATAAATCAGTATCACAGCAGTAGAATGCAACAAGTATTATAAGAAACCTGAAAGCCCAGGAGGAACACGGATGAAGAGGGGAGAGAAAACAAATCCAGAAATGCCTGTCCCTGCTACAGAGCCTGGTCTTCCTTATTTCCTTGCACACAAAAACAGAGTTCCACATAACTGAAACTACAGCACATACTCAAAAGGCATCCAACTTAAATCCTGAAATGCTAACTGCCCACTACCCCCGTGGTAAAATCAACTGACTGCCAGAAAGCTGCAACTCGCCATTTTCTCTAGTTCCAGCTTTCACCATCAGATCTTGTCCTCACTATCAGAGAAGTCAAGAAGCCCTAAAATGCCATCTATCTCCTCCATATGCAAGCAACCAACATGGTAATCAAGTTAAGCATGAGAAAGGAAGTGCAACATCCACATAAAGATGGAGAAATAGCTCTCAAATACACATAATACAGAAGGCAGGAAAAAAGAGAAAATAATGCTGCAAATATATTTTGGTTATGGTAATCTCAGGAACTCATTGTTAAAATAATAGGGATCAAGATTTTTCCAATGGCAATGCAACTTTCAACTTGACACTGTTCCTTTAAATGTTAGTTTGATGCACTGTATCATACAGAAATCCAGAATAAAATATATTAAATTATACTGTACCAATATGCAAATGTATCCTAGAGAAGGGACTTATAATAAGTTCCTGAGGGAAGTATCAAAGACATAAGCACATCTCTATTTTTCACAGTCAGAAAAATCGTGATAGTTTATAAACCAGTGGAACACATTTGATACAATAACCTCTATTTCCATATTTTAACATTTAAAAAATGTTAAATTGCAGTTCAGCTTGTTAAAAAGCATTTAATATTGATGCAATCACTAAAACTCAAAGCTTTCTTTAGATCTATTAAGGCAATATGATACCTGAATTATACTCAAGTTCATAGTGATCTACTAAACACACTCACAGACCTCTGCTCAACAAGATATACAGATAAGTATATGTATAAAAGCTAAGTATAGTTACAAAAGATGGGGTATGGATAAAAAGGAAGTGGGGGAGTTAGAAGCAACAGTGCCCGGCAAGTAGAACTAGTAACTCCATTGTACAGATGGTAGCTTCTCCATCTGGCAAATCTCTTATGATTTGCAAGAGAGCAACAACAGTTGAACAAACATGACTTAAGACCCAAAGACCCAGTTAACACTTTATCAAACTTTGTTAACCCTGTCATACTTTACGAGGTCCCTCAAAATATCAGGGGGCAGTAGAAAAATGATTTGGAGGTGGAGAAACCAAATGAGGAACTGTCAGCAACTTTACCAGGGGAACCAGAGACCAGACAGGACAGGAGTGATAGGCTGCCAACACTGAAGCATCATTGAATAAACAGTGAATAGAACAGGTCTTTAAGGATTTCATGCTATTTTAATTTTCCTAATGAAAAATAACATCACTGTAAGGAAGAAGCATATATATGTTTAATACAGGTATTTTTTGCTCCTGTGATTAGATTATGCATCATTCAGGAAAACATTTGTGAAGTCTCAAGTCCCTATGTGTTGCTACTGTAGAAAGGGCAGAGTCTAAAAAAAGAGGAAGCAGAATTTGAAAAAAGGACTAATATTTATCTCTTACCGTTTCAGTCTAGGGCTGGTTGGATTCAACCAATGGTTCAGTTTCAAAGGGCCTGTCTACACCACCTCTGTGCTGGACAGTGAGCACAGTCATGAGACATGCTCTGCCCACACATGCCAAAAGGAGGCTACATACTGAACATGTACCCAAAGCTGCTATCTTGTTCATGTGTATTGGCATACATGTACACATACTTTAAAGCAGCTGCATTGCCTCATCTGGTGGATACGGTACCTCCTGAGTATGAGTGAATGAGAGGGGGATGCTTCATGGCAACACTCCTTGGTGCAGCTCAGAGACAGTGTACATAAGGACTCTTGTGTAGTCTTCATGGCCCCCTTCCAGTCTATTCATCTGTTGCTTGCTTTTCTGCTTTTTTATGCTTTGTTATTTTTCCTGGCAGGCCACATTTTCTCATAATGCACCGTGGTGTCCCCAAGGAAAACATGTTGGCAGTCTTGCGTTCATATGAAATAACCATGCAGCACATGCACATGGCATAGCAAACACCCACCCCCACTCTCCATCTGGCAGTTAATGCAGGCATTTTCTCTAATTGTTGGTATACACTTGTAAACATGTTGGTATGTGCATCTGTTTTCCCCCCTTTGGCCTTCAATGACCTGGATTTCAAATGCTAAACAAAGAACAAATCTCCATCCATTTGTATCATCAATTCTTGGGTTATATAATAAAATCTACCCTCACTCATGTCTCTGAAAAACTTCTTAATTTCAGTGGGTATAAGCAAGACCAGAGGTTGGTACCTGTAGGGCTAAAAATGATCCAAAGCATGCTGGCATCTTGGCAGTCAGACTAGTAGATTCCTGGTATTTGAGAAAACAGTACTGTTTCCCACGTAGGACCATTATAAAAGAAACCATATAATCATCATTCTGATTGGATTTGGCACAAATATGTTTTGTGAACCATACTGTTCACATCTATAGAACTATTGATCTGACAGTTTTATGTTTCCATTCATCACTGTACAGCTTAAGGGTTTTCTATGTCTGATTGGCAGTAATGTGGTCCCAATTGGGCTATTCCCATTTTGAAGGAAAGAAACTTTTTAGGTTTCAGGCCTTTTTGGTTTGCTTTGAGTTCTCTTTCTTTCTTCCTCCCCTGTCTGCACCCACACATTGCCTTTTTAAAAATGTTTGTTATTTTGTGAAGACTGAAGAAGTTGGGAAAAAAATCTTCTGACTAGAATATTCCATATAGTTTATTATGGCAGAGATGAGATTATGTCTGTGTAGTTCCATTTTTTAAACTCAAGACACAAGAATATAAAACACAAAAAGTGAAGAAGACAAAACTGTTTAAACTCCATGTTGTACCTGGTCTTTCTGAAACAGAATTAGAGTGCCATTTGGTGGTTCCAGTTTGGAAGACATTCGAAGACTAATAAAAAGGACGGGAAGGGATGCATTATAATGGTGCTGCAATACACACTTTGCAACCATAAACTGTAATTTGTATGTATTCCATTCCCTCAATTTCTAACCAATCATTAAATATGAATAATCCTGTATCTAGTTAGAACTTCAGTATTTCCTGTGAACAGGAGTATTTGATAACATCTTTTCTAACAGTAATGGATTGCAGGATATGCCAGCATATTGCAGTACAAGTCCCTCCCCTCTCCCCACCCCCCAAAAAAAAACAACACCACCAACAAACAACCAAACAAACATCTTTCCATGGAGTGACATGTTTGTCAGGTAAAAACACATTAGAAAGAGACAAAATGGAGAAAAAAATTCATATATGCAAGATGAAAAAAAAACCTTGAAGAAGTTATATATGAGATTTCACTATTCAACTGCACTCTTTCCTGCATTAGTAGGTGCATCACAAGCAGGTCTAAGGAGGTGATACTTCATCCAGTTTGGGGCAATGCACTTCAAGAGGGATGTGGATAACCTGGAAAGGGTTCAGAGGAGGGCTACTTGCATGATTGAGGGCCTGTGGGTAAGATCCTATGAAAACAGATTGAGGGACCTGAATCTCTTCAGCCTCAATAAGAGAAGGCTGAAAGGTGATCTTGTGGCTGTCTACAAACTCACTGGGGGGGTCAGCAAGGAATAGGGGATACTCTGTTTACCAGGGCGCCCCTTGGGGTTACTAGAAACACTGGCCATAAACTGAAGGAGAGTAGATTTAGATTGGACATCAGGAAGAAATACTTTATGGTGAGAGTTGCCAAAATATGGAACGGGCTTCCGAGGGAGGTGGTGCTTTCCCCTACCTTGGAGGTGTTCAAAAGGAGATTAGACAAGTACCTGGTTGGGGTTACTTAACCCCAGAGCTCCCCAGAGCAGGGGGTTGGAATCGATGATCTAATAGGTCCCTTCTGACCCTAGAAATCTATGAAATCTATGAACCTTAAGGCCACCACTGTAGACAGGGACAGTCCTGGTTAAAAATACATTTAGTCAGTCTTAGTCAACCTGAGAGTCGACATTAGAGTCCACCTCAACCAGCGGACAGGTTGTTAAAAGATAGTCCTTGTCAACACTGAGTTCTAGGTCACATATATCATCATGTTATTTGACATTTGTTCAAAACCGATGTGATTTTCAATGAAGAAGTGTCCATAGAAATGTAACATTACTTTTCAGAAAAACTTCCAGCTGATTTAAATCACTTCATTTCCATTTGGATTGGTGAGAAAAGTTTTGCCAGACTTAAGTAATGTTTTATGTTTAAGCAAACCTATGGTGTACTAAGAATACAACAAAAATACCACAACAATCTTTTATCCATCCTATAATCTTAAAACTGTCCCATGAATATCTTAGAATGAAAGAAATCCACTCAAAACATACCTGCACTATTTCCAGCATTTCTGATTTACTGATGTATCCATTTCCATCCAGATCATACATGCTGAATGCCCATTTGAGCTTTTGCTCCAGTTTCCCTCTAGACGTTACACTCAAGGCTATGATAAATTCTCTAAAGTCTATTGTTCCATCGCCGTTAGCATCAAAGGTACGGAATACGTGTTCTGCAAATTTAGAAGCGTCCCCATAAGGAAAAAAGTTCCCGTATATTTTCTTAAACTCCTCCATAGATAAATGTCCGCTTGGACAGTCTCTCAAGAAGCCTTTGTACCACTCCTGGATCTCATGTTCTGTAAAGTCTGTACTTTCTAGCAAATCTTGCATGACTTCTGGGCGTAGTTTGCTGTTCTGTTTTCCCATCTTGGAGTCAAATGTTATCTGAAGGCAGAAAAAAAGCCCAAAAATTATTTTTAAATTTTATTTTAGAGGCAGTAGAAGAACACAAAGAGCCTGAGACTGAATTTCTGATACTAGCGGACATCAATAGACTTAATCTAAACTTTTGCCAGGTAAGCTAGATCAAAGTTAGTGCTTCTATCATTGTTCCCCTGAGATTTTCCCTTTTTCATTACCTTGTATATTGAATGGACGCAAATATTGATTCTATACTCTTCATAGCCAGTCTGAGGAATAGCAATTAGAATGGAACCAAATTCAATTCTGATTTGTCTTTTAATATTGGTTCATACTCTAGATGCAAGTTTGTTCTTCACTGGGATTCCAAGGGTGTTAATTAATATAATTCCTAAGATACATTTGCTGGTAAAGACTGATTATTTCCACTTTTAGATCAAAGTAAATTGGAATCTTAATAGAAGGCAGCAGTGGACTTTTTTGCATAAACTATTAAATACGATCTTTAATGTTCCTTTGCAACCAGGATTCAGAGCTTTGAGGTAATTATACATTGGTTCAGCTAAGGTCTTTTGAAAGTCTCTTAAGAAAAAAAAAGCCTGATAACCACCTCATTTACAATACTGGAAAGTCATTTCTCTTCAATTAACTATTAAGAAATATTCCTGAACACCACTTTTATGTCTAATTTTTCAAGTAAATGAATGTCATTACTTTTTGTTAAAGGCAAATTGCTATATACCATATTGTGTTATAGATTTAGTAACAATTAATATTCTTTGGTTTCTGACTACTATTTTAAAAACTGATCATACCGTTCCAAAGAACAGTGTCATTAGTTTCATCAGAACTTATAACAGCACATCTCCCAAAAAAGATGCACATTATTTTTGTGATAAAAAATTCTCCCTCTTTCAATGGTTAAGCATTAAGAGCCAGATCTGGCCAAATCCAAGCATATTCCATATTTACTTAAATCCAAGATGAGGCTTTTTACCCATTCAACATGGTGGGAGAAAGTCTCCTCTCAGATTCAAATATGGGACCATGCTGGGGCTGCAGCTGCTACCACCATGGCTGCCTGGCTGGGGCCAGGGTGGCTCATCAAGTGGAGGAGGGGACATTTGGAAGGTGGGAATGTGCAATGGAGGTGGGGTGGAGTGAGGAGAGTGGGGAGTGCAGGAAATCCTGTGCGGTACAGTGGGGAGGGAAGGGAATCACGCAGCACCAGCTCCGGCTCTGGATGCAGCTCCAACTCAGCTCAGGGGCCACAGCTATCACTGCTACCACTGACACTGGACCAGACCAGGGCTGGAGCCACTATGTGCTCCATGCCCAGGCCAGAGCTCTAGCCAGAGCTGTAACACAGAGTAAGTGGCAACAGTGGGGAAGCAAGTGGAGGAGGGGCAGGCAGTGTGTGGGGGGGCAAATGGCAGGGTGGACATGTGCAGGGAGTGGGGGAAGGGGCTGAGGTCAGGTTGTCTTCCCCCCTTCCACTTGCCCGGCTGCCACTGCTTTCCCTGCTGCAGCAGTGAGGGGGACAAATTTAAGATAAGTTTGACAGGGGACCATCCAGGGGCTGGGTCTAAACCTCGGCCTGCCCACCTAAGTAGGGCAATCCACCCAGTCTCACCTGCCATGACTTGCTGTTCTATATGCTGGTGTAAAATGCAGGAGGCTTCCCATTTTAATGCCCTGATGCCGGGGGATGCTATACACAACTCTGACCTCCCCTTATCATGTCCCATGCCTTGCAGATGGCATCCTTGAGTTGCTCTTTGCTTTGGCTTGTGGCCAAGCCAAACTCAGCTATTTACTAGGCTTCATGCATTTGTCTTTTCACTCGGCCCCATGGAGCCTCATTCATACCGCCCCCCTCTCACCGGGGCCTCTTGCACTCCACCCTCTCACTGGGCCTCTTTTATGCTGCCGCTCACTGGGCCACACCCAACCTGCCCTGCTCCCTTGAGCGACTGTGCAGGCCATCAGGTTTGCCTACTCCCACTCCTTAGCTGGCGGGCATCCCATAGGGCTCCGGTTTCTGGAGATGTGTACACCCGCAAACAAGAAGCCTGTTCCCAACCGGGGCCTTGTTCTCTTTAGGCCCACCACCTTTTCCCTGGGGCTTGGGACCCTAATGGGCTTCTGCCATCCCCATAGTTCCTCCCTTATCTCCAAGGTGGTGTGAGCAGCATCTCAGCCAGGTGGTGTCATTCCAGCTGCCAGAAGCAGACTGCTGCTCAGCCCTAAGAGCCTGGATCTAAAATGCCCACCTCATCAGGGCTGGCCTGTACTTGCCAGCTACCTGCTCTCAACCTTAAAGTGGCAAATACCAAAGGTGCTCTGCCACAGTGAGCCTCCAATAATTAGATGTTATGCATGGAAAACTATAACAAATTTATACATTTTCCATATATAAAATCTAATGACTCGGGTCTTGCCTCTAGATGATTCAAAGTCTTGCATTTGGGTAAATACAGTAACTGAATTATGGCAAGCTATTCCTATAAACAGATATTAATGCAGATGTTCCTTACACTAATGAAGGCTATAAGAAAAACAATGAGTTAAGGACCTGCAACATAAGAAGGTCAAGATTATTTGTGGATTAATCCAAAAAGCCTCCAACATTGTTATGTCAAACTAGATTTCATGTCATATAGACAAGCTTGTGAAAAATATCTGCAAAGACTAATGAGCATCTAATAACATAACCCAGAGACATCACTATCAGTTTTGGCACCCTGGGCATAACCTCTTGGGGGAAGGTGTGAGCGCTCCTTTGCTGCATCTGGAATGGCCTCGCATTACCTGACAACAGGAGTTGGGTGCTTGGACACAGCAGGAGCAGCCTCATGTTGTCTGGCCATAGGAGCCAGGTGCTGGGGCACTGCAGAAGCAGCAGGAGTCCTTCAGTCCCTTGGGCTGGCCAGACCTTCCTATGGCTAGGCAGTGCAGGGCTGTTCCAACTTGGTTTCTCAGGCTGGGCAGCATGATGCTACTTCTGCTGTGTCCTGGCTGCTTGTTCCTACAGCCAGATGGCCCAGGGCTTCTCCAGCTTGGCTCCTATGCAGAGCAGCTCTAGATGTAGCAAAGACTCTGGAGGAATCCATAAGGGGCATCATTCTGGTGCCCTCTCAAATTCTGCACCTGGGGCTGACAGCCCTCTTATCTGCACTCCTGAAAAACCCTGTAGGTTCAAGATAATATTTATCTTCAAACCTTCACTTCCCACTGAAGTCCAAAGGAGGCGTCTTGTAGGACTGAGAACTTCCAAGCTAACATTTATATTCCAGAAAAATAAAAACAGACTTGTCTTTAACATAGAAAGTGTCTAAAGCATGCTGAAGAAGGAAAATGCCACGTTAGTGGTGAGTAATTACTATCGCTTTTTTGCTTCTCCCTCAAATTAATATTGTAAAAGGAACCAAGGCTTTCCCCCCCTTGAAAATGGTAAAAAGACTGTTATTTTATGGGGATAAATCGAACACCTGCTAAAGGAGGTTGAAGGATTCATTGATTTCACTGAGCTTTGGATTGGGTCCAGGATGAACAGCCTGGGAATTTCCTAAATTAATGGCTTACATTAAAACAATCAAGTAGTTTTATTCTTACATACTGAAGATCTGTCTTTGGCAAAAAGACAGAAGTTGGGGTTGACAACAGCTTGAAATGAAGAAAGTCAGCTTAAAGCAGAATTGATTTGTAATAAATCATCATCATCATCATCATCATAACCACAAAAACCATAATAACCATAACGACAACAAAAATATTATTAATGAGAATGGCAATGACAATAATAACAATAATAAGAATGCCAAACAGTAAACCTGGGGTTCTAACTACCTTTTCAAACCCAGACCCACCACTGACACAGACATTCAGGTTCAACTACTTTCAGGAGATAAGATTTCAAACCATTGCAGAAGAGAGCAATGAAGAAGGGTATTTTGGAATTTTCATTACAATCTCTGATTTTTAGGGACCATAATCCTTAGCTGTTAATATCTCACATATTTCAAAATCCATAATATTTAACCTTGACACACACACTTTCAAGCAGGAGGCCTTTTAAAATACAATGCTTCAAGTACTTTAGCCAGGGCTTTCAATATATGGGTCTAAAGAATAAGCCTCTCTGGGCTTACAGAATTGCAATTGATTATACACTTATACATTTGCAATGAGCTGAAAGTACAATATATTTGGACCAAACAATAAAAAATTAGCATAAACTAGAACACATTTGTATCAGCAATCACAGAGTTTTCTTGGAACAATTAGCATTCTTCTGGCCTTTGGAAGAGGTATACACTGATTTAACTTGAACCAGGAAAGGGTCTGGGGCAGAAGTTTCATAAACTGGTTTGACCTAAACCCGTTAGTTCCGATACTACATTCAACCAGGTTTATCTTAAACCAGTTTCACCCATTTTGAAAATGGTTTATGTGCACTGAACTTCTGCTCTGTTACAGGTTTAAACCAGTTTCTGATCACTTAAACCAATTTATGTGTAACTTCTGTCCTTAACCTTCCTGGCTGCAGGAAAAAATCATACCCAGTGCATGGAAAATGACACTTTAATAACATTTTCTGAAAAAAAGACATAGCCAGTGAATTGAAGCCTCACTTATGGCCCAGATGTTGTGGCCTAGAGTACCACTAGCCTGAAGGAAAGGGGTGAAGGAAGACTGCAGGGACAGAATCACTGGACACTTAGTACCTGACGAGAAAGATAACTGTCCACAAACATTTGCGGATGCAGAGTAAGTGTGAGTAGATCCCTACTTCAGGGTAAGGTTTGGAACTGAGCATTGATCAATAAGTTCTGGGAGCACAAGGTCCAGCCAGGTTTGGCTGCCTGGCTCTGTATCCGTGAGAGCACGGGGTCAGAACCTGTCTTACTGTTAACACCCTTCAAATATCTGGAACAGTATTGTGCCCCTTGTTCTCCTTTCTTAACCACTGACATCACCTAGGAAAACCTTCCATATCTAATTATTTTACTTCTTCTTTATAC